TACATTTCTAAATGTGATTTCTAAATATGAATTATGGTACTCAATAGCATGGGCTTACCTATACAGTTTTCCTTGCTATCATGAATAATTCTTGGATAAATAGTCTTGTGCCTAAAATTTGATGGACTATCTGATTAGTTATTTGAACCTAGTAATGCTGGGGTAAAGAATATGAATTTTGTCAAAGCTCTTGATACATATTATCACATAATTTCCAGAAATGCTGAAACAGTTTACACTTTTATCTAAAGCTTATGAATACGCTTATCTCCTTAGATTCTCACCAATACTGACTACTACTGGTATACTTATTCTTTAAAATTTACTAACCAAAAAATATATTACACTTTAACTTACATTTTATATTCACTAGAGTGAATACTTTTTTTGTATATTTACTGGAAAATTCCATTTCTCCTTTTGCAAACTGTGTATTTATATCTCTTGCAAACATTTGATTGGCATGTCTATGTTTTGAAGTAAAGTATTATGATGACATGTGCAAAGACCTGGAGATAGAAAACCGAAAGGGAAGCTCGGCATTTCTCAAGCTGAAAGAACTGAAGAAAAAATTCAAGCCTTGAGTTGTAATATTGAAGGATTCTATGGGGAGAACATTAAACAATGCAAGAAGCTTCAAAAGAAGATGGAATACAGAGTCATAATACCAAAAATAAATGGTCAACGTTCAACTATTTCAGGAGGCAGCATATAATCAGGCACTGATGTACTGAAGGAAGAAGTCCAGACTGCACTGAAGGCATCGGTGAGAAACAAGCCTCCAGCAAATGATAGAATACCAACTGAGATGTTTCAACAGACAGATGCAGTGCTAGAAGTGCTCAGTCATGTATGCCAAGAAATTTGGAAGACTGCTACCTGGCCAGCCAACTGGAAGAGATCCATGTTTATGCCTATTCCCAAGAAAGGGGATCCAATGGAATGCAGAAATTACCAAAGCATATCATTAATATCACATGCAAGAAAAATTTTGCTGAAGATTTTTCAAAAGTGGCTGCAGCAGTATATTGATAGGGAACTGCCAGAGATTCAAACCAGATTTGGAAGAGACATGGCACCAAGGATATCACTGCTGATGTCAGATGGATCCTGGCTGAAAGTAGGGAATACCAGAAAGATGTTTACCTGTGTTTTATTGACTATGCAAAATCATCCAACTGTATGGATTATGATAAATTATGGATAACATTTCAATGAATGGGAATTCCAGAACACTTAATTGTGCTCATGAGGAACCTGTACATAGATCAAGAGGCAGTTGTTCAAACAGAACAAGGGGATACTCCGTGGTGTAAAGTCAGGAAAGGTGTGCGTCAGGGTTGTATCCTTTCACCACACTTATTCAATCTGTATGCTGAGTAAATAATCTGAGAAGCTGGACCGTATGAAGAAAAATGCAGCATCAGGATTGGAGGAAGACTCATTAACAACCTGCATTATGCAGATGACACAACCTTGCTTGCTGAAAGTGAAGAGGACTTGAAGCACTTACTGAAGATCAAAGACCACAGCCTTCAGTATGGATTACACCTCAACATAAAGAAAACAAAAATCCTCACAACTGGACTAATAAGCAAATTTATGATAAATAGAGAAAAGATTGAAGTTGTCAAGGATTTCATTTTGTTTGGATACATAATCAACACCCATGGAAGCAGCAGTCAAGAAATCAAAAGATGCATTGCATTGGGCAAATTTGCTGCAAAAGACCTCATTAAAGTGTTGAAAAGCAAAGATGTCACTTTAAGGACTGAGGTGCTCCTGACCCACGCCATGGTGTTTTCAACTGTCTCATATGCATGCAAAGGCTGGACAATGAGTAAGAAAGACCGAAAAAGAATCAACGCCTTTGAATTGTGATGTTGGTGAAGAATATTCAGTATATCATGACAGAAGAACGAACAAGTCTATCTTGGAAGAAGCACAACCAGAATGCTTCTTAGAAGCAAGGATGGTGAGACTAAGTCTCACATACTTTGGACATGTTATCAGGAGGGATCAGTCCCTGGAGAAGGACACCATGCTTGGTAAAGTAGAGGGACAGTGAAAAAGAGGAAGACCCTCAAGGAGACAGATTGACACAGTGGCTGCAACAATGAGCTCAAGCATAGCAATGGTTGCGAGGATGGCGCAGGACCGGGCAGTGTTTCATTCTTTTGTATGTAGGGTCGCTGTGAGTAGGCACTGACTCGATAGCTCCTAACAACAACAGCAACATGTTTTGAATGCAGTATGTCTAATACAGGCTACAGTGGGGAGACTGAAGATTTACGTGCATTGTTGTCATCACACTAAAGTGATAAACAACACTCTTTGCAAAATAATCTGCCAATATTTGTCAAGAGCTTAACACACGTTGTATGTACTAATCCAGCAATTCCAATTCTCAGACTAATTATAAATAACAAAAAAACCTCTTTGCATTGAGATATTTTATATGTTGTAATCTTAAAAACTGAAAATGCTTCCCTGAACTGTATTCTAAAATATCTGAGGAAATAAATTTTAATAGTGAACTATCAAAATATTTACAATGATTGAAAATTGCTAAATACACTTTGGGATATATGCTTAATAGATTATTAAAATAATTAAAACTGATATTTACAAAGGGTTTTCATTATCATAAAAACTATTAACAATATAATTTAATTGAAAATTCTGCATGTAAAATTGTACATGTTGTATGACTTTTATCAGGCATAAAAAAGCAAAATAATATGTCAATGAGAATTTTCCCATGGGGCTGGAATTGGTAATAGGGCTCACAGAGGAATAGACGTTAAGTTTCTCCATTTTAAATAGAACTGCCAACAACTGTGGCCAGACACTTAGCCTCTTGGCTTACTCTCAGGTAGTACAATAGATCTACTGCTGGAATCACAACCTGACACATGCTTAACAGTAGTTATGAGTCAGAATCAACTCGAAGGCAAAAGGTTTAGGCAACAGAGGGGTAAGAGGGAGTCTCCATGCAGTAGCCCTGTGGGGAATTGCAGTATATTTGCAATTTCCTCCCTCCTTGTGGGGGAGAGACAGGCAAATTCCCTCCCTGAAGTCAAGTAAAGGAGGCACCAAGAAAATTACTCATAAATACAAGATTTTATGAAAGCAGAGAAGATTGAAATATCATTTCTGTGTTTGTAAACTTTTGACAATTTAAATTCAATTTCTTTAAATTTGGACAATATTGGCTAATGTTAATGAGTACTACATGACCTAGTTTTGAATGTAGTGGACAGGTAACTCAAAGGGAACAACAAATGCTATATTGTATTGTATCCATGCCATACTGTCACACTTACTGAAGATGGAACAATAACTTATTATTCAAAATTTAATACTGAGCAGGTGTTAAATTGATCCATAATTTTTATGTGGTAAAATGTATACAATTATGAATAAAAGTAGGAAAAAGGAAGTAACAATTATTAAATACATATGCTTGTTGAATCTTATATTAAAGATAGCCTACAGATAAGCATTTAAAAATTATGACTGCAATGTGAAATGCCTTTGAATCAATTGACTAATAATCTTTCAAATTCTCCAAAAAGGAAAAGAAATATATTTCAAAATATTAAAGGGGCTCAAATGTTTCTCTCCTATGTGAAATTTGGAAATGTTTTGATGCTAGAGTCTGGATAAATGTATTACTATAGCAATGTATAATTAGGATAAAGGATGTTTAGGAAAATTCAGTTTCAGCAAATTGTTATTGGACAACTGTGCCCCTAAGAAAGGAGCTCCTGTGGTGCAGCGGTTAAAAGCTTAACTGCTAACTAAAAGGACACTGGTTTGAATCCACCAGCAGCTCCTTGAGAGGAAGATGTGGCAGTCAGCTTCCATAAAGATTAAGCCTTGGAAACCCTATGACAGTTCTACTCTGTCCTATAGGATCGCTACGAGTTGGAATCAACTTGATGGCAAAGGGTTTGGCTTTTTTGGTTAGGGCACCTAAGGAAATGCAAGATTCCTACAAGGAAATAGTGTGGCCCTAAGCACTTAGACAGGAGCAGGAGCATCAAAGATTGGGAAGGATTCACAAAGGGAAGGCAGAGGCCACCAAATGAGCCGTATTTCACAATTCTGCCCAGAATCTAACCTGTATTTGCTTATTTGGAAACATTTGCACACGTTCCTTTCATCCCAAGTCCTACCTTTGAGCCTTATGGAAGAGCTCTGAAAAGAACTTCAGTCCTTCAGCTGAAGATCCATATACTCACTGCTCGAGTGATTACCTGAGACCCCCTCAGTTTCTGCACTGTACTATTTTCTGTTCTTTTCTGTCCTGTTTTCCTCAGAGTGTCCTTCTTCCTCAGGCTGAAGGGCAGCTTAAAACTGGGAAATGAGTACAACCAAGTCAGCTATGCTAGGAGTGGTTATCTCCAGATTAAGCTCCATTTAACAGCAAACATCTGGGAGGGTTTCATTCCTATTAGAGTGATGCATTCATTTCACTTCCTGCAACTATAACCAGAACTCATTACCCTATGCCCCTGTGAACTCATTATAACCTTTATCCTCAAAAGATTCAGGCACTTTTCTATTTAGAAAAATTACAATTTCAGAGCCTTTCCCAAACTTAACTACAAATAATGACATAATTTAAACCAAGCCAACCTTCACGTACACACACACACACACACACACACACACACACACACACGCATACTCAAACACACACACAAGCACACATGCACAAAGACACAACACACACATATAAGACAATTTTGGTGAACGTGCTCATAACAAAATTTTATGATTTGACATGAATATTTAATCCATTCTTTTGCCTCTGAGTGGGATTGTACTCAATGATCCACTCTATAATAGGTCTGTGTTTCTTTCTTAGGTATTTCTGATTTATTTTGCCAAACATGATACAAACAGTTAGGAAGTTCTCTTTAATGTCTTGCTACAAGTATTTCTATCTGAATTCCCCATCATTCTTTCTCTTTATTCTGCCACTGAAAACATCATAAATACTTTCCCAGTGTTCTTCTCACTGCTGCCTTCACCTCTTTGTTCTTCAGACTGTAGATGAGGGGATTCAGCATGGGTGTGATCACACTGTACTGCACAGAGAAGATCAACTCAAGGGGTGAGCCTGAGGTTGGCATGAAATCACAGAGAAAAGCTGACCCATAGAAGAAGATCACTGCAGTGAGGTGAGAGGAGCAGGTGGAGAAGGCCTTGCTTCTGCCGGAGATGGAGGTGATGCTAAGGATAGTGAAGATGATACAGACATAGGAGAAAAAGATTAAAAGGAAAGTTATAAGTCCATGTGCGATGGTGGAACAGAGCATAACAAGGAAGTTGGTGGAGACATCAGAGCAAGACAGAAGGAAGACAGAGGGCAACTCACAGCTGTAGTGTGGGATGATGTAGCTATCACAGAAGTCCATTTTCATTGCCAGAAGGACATTGACGAGTGTGTCCAGAAAGCCCAGGCCCCACGAGCCACACACAAGCTGCACACACCACTGGTTACTCATCATCTGGCCATAGAGCAGAGGGTGGCAGATGGCAGCATAGCGATCATAGGCCATCACAGAGAGAAAACAGGCTTCAGTCCCTCCAGTGATAAACACAAAGAATATCTGAGCCAGGCAGCCCCTGACTGAGATGGTTTTCTTCCGAGACAGGAAGTTCTCCAGCATCTTGGGCACGGTGACTGAAGAGAAGCAGAGATCAATAAAAGAGAGCTGACTCAGGAAGAAGTACATGGGCGTGTGGAGGTGAGAATCAGTCCTGATGACCAGCAGCATCATCAGGTTCCCCAGCATGGTCAGGAGGTAAATGCCCAGGAAGAACACAAAGAGTAGAGCCTGGATCTTGGGGTCAGCAGACAACCCGAGAAGGATGAACTCAGTAATGGCGCTGTGGTTCCTCAAGGCCATTTACAAAGTTTTATCCTTAAAAATAATGTAGAAAAGCATGGCAGTGAAATTTCTATCGTCCTCCAACCAATTTTCACACTGCATTGATTCTCATTTAATACCACAGTCATCCAGAATATACTGGCCAGGTTTTGTGGCAGTCACTCGGAACATAAAGATGGATAAGATACAATGTCTATACTTAAAAAAATCATAGTTCAAAGAAGAACACAAAAATAAAAACAAGCAATTGAATCAAAGTGTGATTAACTGTAATGGGAATTTTAATTTGATTTAGAATAAATCAGTGATGTCATCACATTAAGGTAGCTGAGCAAAAAATTTAAAGGTGAGTATGATGTCTCAGGAGCCCTGGTGGTACAGTGGTTAAGTAAGAGCTTGGCTGCTGACATAAGGTCAGCAGTTCAAATCCACCAGCCACTCCTTGGAAACCATATGGGGCAGTTTTACTCTGTCTTATAGGCTTGCTATGAGTAGGAATCGACTCAACAGCAATGGGTTTGTTGTTTTGTTTTGATGATGTCTCAAAGGAGTCATGGAATAGAAGCATATTTATATTGAGGTAGCAGTCTAGTCAAAGGATCAGGACTGAGAAATAGAAAGGTATGTTGGATAAAACATGGACATTTCTTAATAGCTGGAGCCCAAAACGCGGGTAGACAATGTGGTGCAATGACTAAGGAAGTAGTCTCTTGGGTCTTTTTTTTACATCCAGAAAATTGGAATAATATACCACCCTGTTAGGGTTTTATGAGAATTAAATATGATAATGTATATAAAGTACATTTTAAAAACCTATACAATATTGCTCAGTGTAAATTATCATCAATATTATTTAAGATCATAATTGAAGCCTAAGAAAAATAATAAATCCTCATGCAGGATAATCCTCTATCAGAGTTAAAGCTGTTCTTGCCATTATTGCTACTTTTTAGGGAAAGGGGTACAATAAAACACTTGAAATCATTGTTCTCATTTCCATCCTGCCCAGCTGAAAGGCAATATGGCATTTGGAATTGCAATGGAGCCTTCTCTTTAAAAGGACTAAATACCTTGAAGTTACTGAGGGTAATGTCACTCAGAGGTAAAGGGCAGCTAGTCTCAAGAGAGGACAAGGGAAATAGAAGGTGGACCCTCTAACTTCAGCACTGAAATCACTCTCTGGGATGGATGTGCACCTAGTAAAGGGCCAAGCCCCTAGGCAAATAAGGAGGAGGGGATTTGAGATAGTACCATGACAGGGGCCACTCACCCAGCAGAGTAGGGAAGAGGGAAAGGAGGAGTCGAATTTCAGGAACCCATACTTCTACAATTTTGATAGCTTGCCAGGACACCTAAATTATTATGGAATCACCAGCACCTGTTGCTTCCTGCCGCTACAAAGAGGTTCTTAATAAATAATTTTTCTTTACAGATTCTAATAAGTCTTCTTAAAATAGAAGGCTAGAACATTCAGTCCTGTATATTTCAGTCGCGCAGATATTTGCATTCAGCCTCTGACCTTAATCCCAAGACTCTTTTCTCAGTATTCGACTACTGGACTCTTCCATGTCCCTTGACTTTGGTTTTGCCCCAACTTTCAGGTCTAGTTTATACAATCCTCTGCCTTTTTGAACACTGAATATTAGGCATCAGTTCCAGCTGTGAGCTGTTGTGCAACAATAGGACCTTTTGGTCACCTGTAGGATTTATCATGGTAGCCAAGTCCATTTCTTGGTCCTGGCCATTCCTTTGCTGCCCGGTTCCCAATAATCATAAAACCCAGCCAAGGGGAGCTTTGAGTTCCTACTTTCCAACTGTTCAGCCAGCGACGTATCCCTATTCCCCACCCATAACCCAAAAGCATATTACCTGCACATCTTCTCCAAAAGACAATCTGCTCTCTGATGTAGCTGCACCGTCCTGTATTCGATTCAATTACTAGAATAAAAATTATAAAGGATGTATTTTCTATACTTAACTGTATGATTGAGGTTATAAAATTCTGTTGATAATGAAATGTTTTCTTGGATTCTTCACTATTGAAGTGAAGTGGCCATATGAGAGTTCTTTCCTTCAAATGGTCTCAAACACCATCACCCTGGCATCTCTTCATTTGTTCCTATGCTTTTCTTGTCCCTGCCATATATAGGATACTATGGTCTAACTAACCCTCAGAGCAGGTGTGTTTAGGAAGCTTGTGGGTTGACTCATAGGCATCGGTAGCCCAGAGGACGGCTGAGACAATGCTAGTTATTCCCTGTAGTCACAACTTGAAGTCAGACACTGTAGTCAAGAATTAAGCTGGTTTATAAATACCAGTAGAGTTGTCTTAAGTGTGGTCTTTGGAACATCTGGGTTGAAGCAATGACTAGGACAATCAAATGTGAACTCTTGATAAAAAAGTTCCCAGGAGACAGAGAAAGCAATGGGTATTTAACTGTTATAAGAAATAAATATTTTTCAGTTGACACTCTCTGTGTTTTGTTTTCTTTCTGTTATTATCAGGCAATTTCACCTGGGTTAATTTGCTGTGTACATGTAAGTTTATGATCAAATGAGTAAATAAAAATAACAAATTTAAAGGAAAGAAATTCAACAACCACTCATTTGCTGAAACCAATCAATCAAACGTTTCTTGTATAATGAATCCATATATATTTCAAATTACACAATAGCTCTTTACAAATTTGCATGCTTAGTGATTACAATTTATTTAGAGAAGCATTTACCTAAGTGTAACATGTACTGAGTCACAATAAAAAACTCACTGCTGTTGAGTCGATTCCGACTCATACCGACCCTACAGGACAGAGTAGAACTGCCCCATAGGGTTTCCAAGCCTGTAAATCTTTATGGACAAGGAATAAGGAAGAAGAAATTGATGCCTTTGAATTATGGTGTTGGTGAAGAATATTGTGTATACCATGGACTGCAAAAAGAATGAACAAATTTGAGTTAAAAGAAGTACAGCTATAATTCTCCCTAGAAGCAAGGATTGTGAGAATTTATCTCCCATACTTTGGACATGTTATCAGGAGGTAACGGTCCCTGGAGGACATGATGCTTGGTAAAGTAGAGAGCGTCAGTGAAAAGGAGGAAGACCCTCAAGGAGATGGATTGCAACTATGGCCTCAAGCATAACAATAATTTTGAAGATGGCACATGACCAGGCAGTGTTTGGTTCTGTTGTACATAGGGTCACTGTGAGTCAGCGGCACATAACAACAGCAACAACAAATCTTTATGGAAGCAGACTGCCACATCTTTGAATAGCCACATATGGTTAGTAGCTACCCCATTTAACTGCTCATACCTAAAATATTGTTTCTCTATAGGAAATCTACACAAAATTTAAATTGTTTTTATTTCACTTATTTATCTCATTATAAAAGTAATACATAGATACATATATATAAAATCTAAGAGTGTTGTATATGAATCATGTACATACACATTTATATACTTTTATATATGAGTGTCTGCCTACGCCTGTAGATGAAAAATACGTATAATATATAAACAGTAGTTATCTTTGCATGGACAGTATTATGTACTATTTTTATTATTTACTCATTTCAAGGTAATTCTCTGTTTCTATATTGACTGTTTACTAAATTAAGAAAAAATGTGCTAGAACAAAAGTCACAAGGCTCAAGTAAAAGAAACGCATAAGTAAGAAAATAAAATGTCCTCTTATTTATCAGATTTTGAGGATACTCTGGTATTTAGGTATTTTTCCTTTAAACCTGTCTATCTGTCTACATATCTATTTGTCTATCTGTCTGTCCATCTGTCTGCCTGTCTGTCTGTCTCTATCTACTTAATTTTCTTCTCAAAATTGATTATACCGTTGATACTCAAATGTAGTCTACAGACAAACATTATTAACACCATCTGGGAACTTATTAGAAATACAGACTCTTAGGCCCCATGCCAGATTTATTGAATATGGATTTGCATTCAACCACATTCCCAGGTATTTCATAATGCACATTAAATATTGATAAATAGCAGATTAAATCTGAATTTAGCTTTGTGTCTTTTTAAATTAACATTTTAATACGTAGATTTTCCTTACAGTAAATACTTTTCTAAATGTTATTTCTAAATATGGATTTTAGTACTCAATAGCATGTGTTTACCTTCATCAAACTACTTAATCAAACTGGTAAGAAGTGAAAGAGCACAGTATATAGGTTTCTTTGCTATCATGAATAAGTGCCTGATAAAAAGTGTTGTACCTAAAATTTGATGGAATGTCTGAATACTTTTTTTAACCTAGTAATTCTGGGGTGAAGAATATGAACTTTGTGGAAGTTCTTGATACATATTATCTCATCATTTCCAGAAATGTTGACTCAGTTTACACTTTTGCCTAAAACTTATGACTATGCTTATCTGTTTATATTCTCACCAACATTGACTACTACTGGTATACTTATTCTTTAAAATCTATTGATAAAAAATTATATTACATTTTACATTCACTGGAGTGACTACTTTTGGTATATTTACTGAACAATTCTACTTCTCCTTTTATGAATTGTGTATTTGTATCTCTTGCAAACATTTGATTGGCATGTCTGTGTTTTGAATGCAGAATATCTAACACAGGCTACAGTGAGGAGACTGAGGATTATATACATTGCTGAGATCACAGTAAAGCGATAAACAAAACTCTGCAAAATAATCTGCCAATATTTGTCAAGACCCTTAACAAACATTTTATCTACTGATCCAATAATTCCAATTCTCAGACTAATTATAAATACCAAAAAATAAGTTTTTACTAAGATATTTTATATGTCATTTTAAAAACTGAAAATGCTACATCTAACTGTATTCTAAAATATTTGAGGAAATAAATTTTAATAGTAGTGAACTATTAAAATATTTATAATGATGGAAAATTGCTAAATACACTTTGAAATATATGCTTAATAGATTGTTAAAATAATTAAAACTGGTATTTACAAAGGGTTTTCATTGACATAAAAAGTACTGACAATATAATTTAAGTAGAAAATCTGCATATAAAATTGTACATTTTATATGACTTATTAGGCACAAAAAAACAAAATAATATGTCAATGGGAAT